CATTTTGCCTCATGAATTACCTCATAAACAACTCTGCAGACTGACAGAAGACTCGCAGCCTTCTGGTCTTTGCGTGTCGCAGAATGATAGAGTTCCATATTAACATCCTCCCATAGATCTGGGTCAAATAAATCTTTAACTGTAACACTGGGGAATTCCTCCCTCACCCAGGATAAAGCTTCCAGTTCCTGCCTAGAGACCCGGACTGGATGCTGCCTCATCATTATCTCTAGATCATTAACGACATCCGCCTCTGTTTTCGAGAGGTTACCCCCCATTTTGGCTCCTTGACAGCTTACCCGACCCTAATGGGTCTGTCATCCTCGGGTATCTGTCCGTGCTCCAACCAGCAGCTCACGGAAATCTGGCTCCATTGTACCGGGTTTTCCAAGTGTCCGAGATGCCGAGATATTCACCTCCGGAGGAATTTTTCTGGCTTCTGGCTTTCTCTCAAGGAGAGTCCTGGCACAATCTCTTCCTGCCGAGTTTGCACTTTTACACGGGGGCACCAGTTTGTGGAAACCCTCCCCGAGGATCCCCCTGATGGGGAGACCCCTTAAAAGTTCTGTGCCAGTGTTGAGAGACGGATGGGACTTCTGATTTTTTCGGTCTTCAGGTTGTTGTTTATTTTTCTCTTATCAGAAGTTCAGCATGCTGTCTACATCTCAGACTTAGCGTACAAAGAGAAGGCACCAAAAATCACAAGACATACAGGTTTGATATAAAATTTCCATAGCCAAACCAAATTTTATTTCTATATCTTTTATTTAAAAAAAAAAACAAGCAAGCAGCGCTGGGTGTCTGGGGAGTCACCATTCCACTCACAGCACACATCACTACAAGTTCACCAGAGTATATATACTGTTTTTAAGCCTACAAAGCATTTTCCGGTGCTTGTGTTAGTCCAAATCAACAAATATCAATAAGCTGGGATCAGCAATTTCATAATCTTTCCAGGTGGTCGTTGGCTTCCTGTCCTTCTTGTGGTCATCTGGAGGGAGGCCTTACCGGTGTCTGCTACATGATTTTGTCAAGTGCATCAAGCTTTTTATTATACATAAGCATTTAGTTGCTTTGTTACAATATCCCTTTAGCTTTACCACAACTTCCTCTATTTTATTCTAAACATCAGTCATCTTGCTACCTCATCTCTTTACTATGCTTCTTCTATTTTGATGCTTTATTTGGCTATTCAGTCAAAAAGATTCAAAACCATTCTTTGTAGTTATCCCAGGGAACACATCCACTTTCGACACAGCAGATACAAGCATTTGCTGATGCATTGCCAATTGACATGAGTCACAAAAACATTTTTCACAGGTTCAAGGTCTTTTAAAGCTATTTTGTCCAATTAACTCTTAAAACATACTTTATTTCTACCTTTCTACCAATAACTAATTACTTGTCTGTCCACGCAACATCTGCATTGTGGTTCTTTCTAAGCAATCACTCTGTGCCACCAACACTGCAGAAAATGGAGTAGATGAAGAACAAGAAGGAGATCAGACAACGCCCAAAATCCTCCATCTTGTCTTCTATCTACCTCAGTACTACAAACCCAAAACTCTTAAGTTTTCCACCCTGTGATATTACACACTTCTAACCAACTACACACCTGTAATCCCAGTGCTATCACTCAATTTTGGAAGCCGGTTCCATGGCCTCAGGTCAAATGCAGTGCTCTCCTGGGGGTCAGTGCCTGTCAGCACAGAAAGTCTAAAATTCTCAGCATCTAGGGTTCCAACAGTCACCCTTCAGTATCATAGGGAAGAAATACCAGGACACTGGAGTGTGGTGCCCAGTGGTGACTGGTGGCTAAAAACTTCTGTCTTGAATTATGTGATCATCCCTGCTGAGGGGATGACCTATGTGTAGGGAGTATCTCTGGGGTGCTAGTTCATGTCTAGAGAAAACCTTTGTTCAATACTGTTTTCTATTCTGCAAAGTAGATTTTTTTGGTGTGTGTGGGTGGTGGTGGAGGCACTTAAGTAATATTAATTCCCAAGATACCGAGTGTTTCAACTTTCTGTTGATCTCACTGGGACTTGAAATGGTGCAACACCTCTAGAAAGTAGGCTGTTTATTGATTTGCAGACTAAAATCTGGGTTAACTTTTAAGTGCTTTAAAGTGTTACTTGAATGTGCTTTCAGCTTCTAAATACAACTGCTGGACATAAGTCCATATTAACTTCAGTTCATTAATGTTGTATACAAAAGCAGATCAGAGAAATGTCACTTAGTAAGACTGAAACTGGGGGTGTTTTTTACCTAGTATAACCCTGTCTCCTCTATGTGAGAAGGTTTTTAGTGCATCTTGTAAGAGTTGCTTTTCTTAGCAGCTGTACAGGAAAGTGCAGGCCCTGGACTGTAGTTCTTGATCTGTGAGAGTGACTGCTTTCTGCTTGATTGGCCTGCAGAGCAATGTTGTGTGCCCATGACTTTATAATCCTGAAGGTAGCAATGTTAATGCAGTGGACAGAGTTTGTACAGCACAGACTGTGTCTACTCTTTGTGTAGGACATGCTACTGCATCTTCATTTCCTTCTGGGATGTGTAGAGCTCCCTGCCTCTGAGGAGTAAGACTCAATTTGTTGACTCAAATAGTCCAGGCCTACAGGTGGTAGAGTGCTGGGAATGTAGAAAAGCTTACTGTGATCAGTTCTAGGCACAGGTGGTGCTTTTAGTTTGATGGTAATGATTAATCTGAGGTACTTCAGCCCCTTAGGATCCAATTTGAAGTGCTGTTCTTGAAAGCCTGTCCTAAACATCCACTTAGTAGTGGGTACAAGATGGATTCCTTCAGTTTTCCTTCAATTTTTTTGATTAGAGAAAGATTCACAGTTGTTCTGTATTTTATAGCTTTTTATTAATTAATTGCATTGAAAAGTATATGCCATCTCTTTCATATTCCATCTAAAGCAGTTAAGCAATAGAAGCAATAACCATGGGAATACAGAAGACAGAAAATTGATGGACTAAGTCCTTGAAGGGGGGGGCAAAACAAAGAGGATAATACCTTTCTTATACAGGATGTTTAATGATGAGATAATCAACCCCCAGTTTTGACTGGTTCTGTGGTGAGAACTTGCCCTAGTGATGAACTTTGCTCATTATAATAATAAAAAACACATCCCTACCTCAGGCACCCTCTACTCACAAAAAGACCACTACTCATCAAGCATGTGCCATGATTTCTTGGGACACTATGCCTTTAAATCAAAGCAGAGAAAGGATAAGCCAATAGAAACTTAGGCAAGTAGTGACTTAAGTAAGATGTGCTAATAGCCTAATGTTGTAACCTTATAAGTAGGCTTTTGTGTGCCTCAGTGTGCTGATTTTGTGGATCTACAACCCAGTACCCCTTTCTGGTCAGAGCTGTAAATAAATCAAGTACATTGACTCTGTGGGGATTGGCTTCTTGCACACCAGGTAAAAGAACCTGTTTTGGGACAACAATGAAGAGGAAGAGATGTCTCCCAACTTGCTCAGATGCATTTGTAGTTCTCTAAATTAGAGATTCAGCAGGTGTGAGACTTGCACAGTGGTTTCCCACCTATTAAGCCTGCAGCCAAGACTTCACCTCATATCTAGAACACAACAATGTGAACTTGCCTGTTCCGAGCGTGTTGAACAGATGCTGGTGGCTGTGGATGTAACATCAGGTTGTGGAGGTGGAAGAATGAGGATGTGTTTCTAGTTAGGACTCTGTACAGAGGGGAAGGGTAAACTACATCTACACCCCTTGGATGTCTGCTGTCACATGTACTGCTGGGTGTATTCCAGTATGTCACAAGTTTTGTGACGTTCAGCCCCACTTGGCACAGTGACAGCAGTTGACACATGGATGTATCTGGCCTAACTCACTCTTTTCCCTTCCTGTTTGAATGATTGTTTAGGCTGTAATTCAGTGATACTTTAAAGAGGGCTTAAAAAGCTGTAGGGTTTATAACCTGCCTTTATGTTGTACAGCAAAGAGAAGCATAGATGTGGTGGGGTTTAATCTGCATAGAAGAGTTGTTTGTGTTAGAGTACTTATACAGAACAAACCTTTTGCACAATAGAGATGACAAGACATTTTGCAAATTGCAAATTCCTACATACAGAATCTCCTCAAGACTATTTCCAAGGGAAGGAAGCTTAATCTGAATCTTAATCTGAAGATGAGGCTTCAGATTAAGATTTTGTGAAAACAAAATATATTCTTTTGCTCAATTTAATGGCATAACTGAATTGTGTTAGAATGTTTTGTTTGGATTGGAAACTTGTAGCTTCCCATGTGCTGGTGTAACATGGTGGTGCTTTGCTTGTAGTATTTTTAGTCTGTTGTTATTGCTGGGTAAATGCTAAAAGTACTAGCTATGAAGTAAGGTGTGCTGGTATGAGATTATTTGAGCAGGGACAGTCTCAAAACTATTTAAAATCCTGATCTGTCTTAGCAGCAAAGTGACTAGTGCTTATACTTGCTTACAGCTAGCCTCTTAACCAGCAGAATGCACTTGATAGCAGCTGGGACAGTAATTTTTCTCACATAGTCACTTATCACATCTTGGCAGATAGCTAGATAGGGTGTGAGCTTGTGGAGGGAATCAGTGTGTTCTTTCCTCTGTCTGCTGCCCACATACTAATGGTGTGTTCACTCAGAGGCTTGTGAACAAAACAAAATTACTCTTGATCCTTAATGGCTTGTGATCTTTGTTTATCTGTCAGAGCTGGGGCCTGCTGAGAATTAAGCTTCTTACTACACATCATCAGTGTATCTGATGGCATCAGAAAAGAAAGGAAGTAGTATATGTAATTGAAGCTGCTGTTTCAATAGCATCAATGAGATTTGTCTGCACTGCTCCATAGCAGTGTGTGGTCCAAACTTGTGTGTTATGGAGAATACTATTAGTTATTAGGTAGTTCCTCTTAAAGAAAATTTTAGACATCAAGCAGCAGCACTGCAGAGCCAAAGCATCCATTTTCCTTACTGCATTGTATGTCCCTTCTCTTTTTGACAGGTATTCGATCGGTGAGCTTTTACGAGCACATCATCACAGTGGGAACGGGGCAAGGCTCCCTATTGTTTTACGATATCCGAGCCCAGAGGTTCCTGGATGAAAAGCCCCCACATGCCTGCTATGGACAGAAGCAGAAATTAGGAGGAAGTGAAATTTTAAAGTTGACTACTGGGAAAGGTTGGCTGGTGAGTAGGTTGTAGTTGTAGGAAACCCTTTACACAGGAGTTTACACTGGTTCTTTTTGTAGTAATGGAAGCTATTATATGAAATGTGTCCCAGTCAAACAGTGATCATGTAATTAATAACTGTAATCTTGAAAAGCAAGAAGTGCTGCAGTATTGCTCTTTATAAAAGCTTTATGAAAGGGTATTGAATGATTGGTTGCTCAAGTGTAAGGCATACTGACTACTTTTTTTATGCACTGATTCATAAATGAACTAGATTTTATATCTTCATATTTTCTAATGCAATCTAACTTCTAGTTTTCAAAACCTCAAACACAAAATTAATTTCTTCCTTTAAAAATGTGCTACTCTAATGTGGTACTCAAAGCAAGAGAGATTTAATTGTGTGCAATATTAGAAACTGTCCTCCTGAGGTAATGCCATGGCAGGCACTTGAGTTCAATTTCCTGTATGTTATCATAAAGCAGTTAATGGCTTTGTCTAACTTTTCTCCATTATCCTTTGTATCACTGTGATGTAACTTTAAAAACTAATGAAACTTGATATCTTCCCTACCCTTCATCTCCCCCCTACAATGTTTGGCCCCAATGTCCCCAGAAAAAGCTTCAGGACAACATTGTTATTGATCTGTCTGAAGCTTCAGGAGTATTAACAGAGAAGATCCCTTTTTAGGCTCTGGAAACAACCTTCTGCTTTTGTGAAACAAGGTTTTGGGTTTGTTTGGCAGCAGTAATAATCTAAACTTTCCTTTAACAGAATCACGATGAAACCTGGAGAAATTATTTTTCTGACATACATTTCTTCCCAAATGCTGTTTATACCCACTGCTACGACTCATCTGGAACGAAACTCTTTGTGGCAGGAGGCCCCCTTCCATCAGGACTTCATGGGAATTATGCTGGTCTCTGGAGCTAATGATAACTCTTCATAAATGCTGATCTTGACACAGATTTCTACTTTTCTTTACCATTTTAAAAACAAAATTGTGTGATGCCATTGACTTCTGGTTTAAATGCAAGTTATTTTCCGGCAATTTTCTGTTGGTCTCCAACAGTCTTGTAAATGTTTTTGAACCATTCTTTTTGCATTAACCTGCTTGGTCTTTTATATGAAGGGGTTTTTAAATCCTTTTTTTATTGTATTTACTCCAAATGACTCTTCCTCCACATTTAGCCTGTCTTGGCCACATGCCTCCTCCTCTTTGCTGTGACATAGGATTCCTTCTTATAGTGTGGTTGCTGCTGGACTTTCTGTGAAAGTCTAGGGGCTGTGTGTCTTCAGATATTTTGTCAGTTCCATTACCTGAAGTGAGGACTACTTGTAATTTTAAAATATTAAAAATATTTGTAAGATATAAAGTAGTAGCTTATCTTTAGAGCCTGGCCCTAGTCTGGGTTAATCTAATTTTTTAAAAGTACAAGTCTAATGACACTGTTTATACATAGAGGAGTATGGTCATTTTAATATGTACTCATTGGAGCCCAGGGAGAGATTCCCCTGGGGTATTGCACATCAAGCCCAAAGTGCAGGAGTTTAAAAAAATGCATTTGTATTTGAATTGCAGTTTTCAGCAGTGCCAAAAGAAAATTTATCTACTGTTCCTTTTCTGCTTCTCCCAGGTATCAGCTTGCACAACTGGAGTTTGTATAGGCTGTTCTGCAGTGTGGCTATTGCAGGATGACATTACATTGAGGGCCTGCAGAGATGCTGAGAGGAAATGGGGACTAGAGACATGAGTGTTCTTGTCCTTCAAAATGAACTAAATCTATCAATTTTTCAGATGAGTCAAGATTCCTTAGTATGCTGCTGTGGTAGCTCATGGGTTCTTCATAAACTGCCTAAAACCCAGGACCTCTTTTTGTCCCAGGTTGTGGAAGCTTTTCCCATTTTAGCTGTTCTGTTTGGCCATCTCCTCTAATATACCAATGGAATAAATAAACTGGGTTTTTTTCTCTGAGGTTAAAGAGTGCATCTTGGACTTGTGTGATGCAAGCTGGAAGCTTTCCACATAGCAAGATAACTTGCTGTTAGCTCACATTGAGCTAGCAGCATCTGTTGTCATCTTGCTTGCTGTAGGAGAGGCTCAGGTTTTCCTCAAATCCCCTGCTGCCTTCTGCAATCAAACTCCCACAAACTTCATGTGGGACTGGGTGGGGAGAATAGGTCCAATGCCCTTCAGGTCCAGCCATGAAGTGTGTGCATTCCAGGATGATGGTCTTACCTAATACTCACTAAAATGTAGGACTCAAGGGTGCTCCTCCTAGCCTTTTGGCAGGCACCAAGCTTGGCTTGTCACTGATACCTCTGTCCTCTGCTGGGATGAATGCCTTTCCCATGCCCTTGTCACCAGTGGAGCAGAGTGTGCCTGTATCTCACTGCTGTGGTGCCAAATAGGTAGTTGGCTGAAGCTGAGAAGAATGACAAAGCTGGGGCATGCTGTGTTCTTCTGTGTCTGCTGGAGATCACAGCCACCACTGTAGAGTAGCTCTAGTCCCAGATGCAGTTCCTGCCAGATTGCCTAGAGCTAGTCCACATGTGTCTTTGTGGTCCCTCTCATCTTTGTACTCTTTATCTTCATCAGTAATGCCAAGCAGTGAGATTTGGGCTTAATTTCTGGTTGGTAGTGTGTGGTAGTTTCTGGGGTCCCCAGGATGAAGGAGGGAATTGATGAATCTGACTCCATGTTCTTAGAAGGCTAATTTATTATATTATGATATTATATTATATTAAAGAATGCTATACTAAACTATACTAACGAATAGAGAAAGGATACAGACAGAAGGCTTAACAAGAATGAATAATGAAAAGTCTTGACTGCTTCCAGAGTCCCAACACAGCTGGACTGTGATTGGTCATTAAGTTAAAACAATTCACATGAAACCAATCAAACAATGACCAGTTGGTAAACAAACTCCAGACCACATTCCAAAGCAGCAAAACAGGGAGAAGCAATCAGATAATTATTGTTTTCATTCCTCTCTGAGGCTTCTCAGCTTCCCAGGAGAAGAAATCCTGGGCAAAGAGAATTTTTCAGAAAATATCACAGTGACCTTTCACCCTTTTTGTATAATTAAAATAAAAAGAAATCATGTTTGTAATCCTTCTGCTGGGCTCATGCAGAAGAGAGAACAAACACGTCCCGAGAGGTTTATCCATTGCCAATCAAAACCTCAGTCAAGTGCTGATGTGGAATGATCAAGGAGATTCTTTACCTGTAGACCATCAATTTCTATCATATCACTAAAACAAGTTTACAATATAAGAAAATGCAAAAAACAATGCAAAGAATGTTCATTGTTTCAAGTCCAAACAGCTGAGTTTCAGGAGAAAGTCCATGACTGGAGATGCTGCTCTTTGACATCCCTGAAAGGTCCCTTTTGGTCCTGAAACAGGCTTGCAGAGTCCTGAAACAAAGAACTGCTAAAGAAAAATCACCAACAATTATTTAGAAATTCATTGATATTTATCAAACAATTTTGAGAAAATTTCTGGAATGCCCTGGCCACAGCCCTTAATTGAACCACTTGGGCTGAGGCTAATTTGTGGCTTGCCATCACTTTTGAGCTGCTAGCTCTTTCCACTTTTTTTTATTTTGTTGTATTTTAATTTTTTTTTGGTTGGTTGGTTTGTTTTTTTTGTTTTGAAAGAACAGTAGCAGCATAGGGTTTTAGGACCCTGCAGGGGCCCTGGTCCTGGTGGGCGGACCAGGGAACCCAGACCCAGCCCACGGGGCGGTGGACCAGGCCCGGATGGGGGAATCAAACCCCCCAAACCCAGTGGTGGGCGGGCCAAACGGCCCAGACCCAACCCGCGGGGCGGGCTCTTTGTTCTCACAACCCAGCCCCACCATGCTGCCAGTGCCTTGGCAACAGGAGTGATCGAACGTCTCCTCCCCCTCCCCCCAGAACCACCGGCGCACGCCGGCAGCTGGGGAGGGGAAGTTTTCCCGGAAATCTTCATCCCGGATCTGGGGGTCTTCTGTCCCCAGAGCAAGCGAGCAATGCTCGCTTTCCACTGTTTCTCTCGCTCCCGCGGTGCAAACAACAGTGTCCCCGCTTTCTGCCCCTCGGCACCACCCCATCCCTACTGGGCTTGGGACCAGAGACAGAACCTCCAGGAGCCACCCCCCCCACGCTGCTGGGGCGCACGGGGGGAGGCAGGCATTCCAACCCCCAGCGAGAAGCCGCCGACCAAATGCACCTGTCTCAGAAGTATAATTTACTCACACTGAGCACTGACATGGGTACTTCACAAACAGATCTTTTTATGGTGTTTCATAATTCTACTTCCCTTGTGGGTTGGTTGCTTAAACTGAATCAGTTCATGGTGAAATTATAAACTGTGGAGTAGCAAAGGAGCTTTCATATTTTATTTAGAGTTTTTCATTGTTTTTTAAAGATGTAATGGTGCCTGTGTTGTTCTGTGATGGCAATTTACTGCTTTGGTTATTTTAGGGGTTTTGAAAAGTGGAAGTATACAGAGAAAAACAAATCTTGGTGAAGTATGGCAGGATGTGTATTTCTGGGATTATTCCTCCAGCTACCATGTAAGATCACACTGTCACAGGGAACAATTTCTGGTTAGTTGTTTTGTTGGGCTTGGTTTGAGGTGCCTTTTTTTCTCCCTCTTTTCTAAAGAGACTAGACACTTGACTCTGAGTGTTCTCTAATTCTGCTGAAACAACTAGTTAGGTGCTTAGTGTCACCAGTACCAAAGGAAAACTACTGGTCTGGAAACCCTAGCCCTGATGTTGATCTATAAATTTGAAGCATATTCCAGGTCTGGGTGAGGGGGCAAAAAGGGTATTTTTATGGACTAAGCTCTAGCCTCTAAACATGGAGGCTGATCTTTCTGCAGAGTCAGCAGAGTCTCTAGGTTATTGAAGAGGTCACCACAGCACCCCTGGAACCTGTCCCTCTCTGCCAACTGATCACAAATACCTCAGTGTGTGGTCCTAAAGCTTGGTAGTGTGAGTGCCCTTTTCCTCACTTTTTTTCTGCATAAGAAGCTTTGGACAATTCTCAGAAGAATCTGGACAATGATGTAAAATTTCTCAAGTTTCATATGCTTCTGTGTATTCTGCTTTCATGGTGCTTTCTTGCAAAGATAACTTCTCATGGGGAGGGAGCCATCCTTGTTGCTGTATGAAAATCCCCCCCAAAAAACTGGGAACAAACTAGATATAGTGCTGCAAGAACACAAATTGGGCCAGAGAGAACTTAATTTCTAGCCTGTTTTGTAGCAGCCACAGGGCCTGCAAG